GACAGGCACAGGCACAGGCACAGGCACAGGCTCTCAGTTCAGTATCCAGAACTACAGTAGAGCCACTGTCTGCAGGGAGGAAAAAGAATGTCTCATATACAGCATATATTTATATTTATTTATATAAATATTTATATATATATTTATATATAGGAAAAAGAATGGCTCATATACAGTATATATTTATATATATATTTATACATATATTTATATATATATATATAGTGGAACAGGCCGACTGACGGACTCAGCTGCAGCTTCTCCTCCCAGCAGGAGGTTGTTGCTGCGTGTCTGTTCTCTGTTCCCCTGCAGCTGTGGACCAACCCTTGTTGACTTTTCAGAGATCACATGGCATCTTCTTCTTCTTCTTCTGCTTCTTCTTCTTCATGTTCTCATCTTCATCGTCATCTTTTGGCCTGGAGTGGCTCTGACTCGGCAGGACCGTCGGTGGTCAGCAGGTCTTCTCCACTTTGTAGTTTACATGCATATTTACTATATATTCTTTAATTAATAAAAAATGTTGATTTATTAAATGTTTAACTTCATATAAAATACATAATTAATTAATTTAAACTTTTTTTTTTCAAATACTTTATTACTGGATATTACTAATTTAAAAAAAATATATGATTTTTTTATTATTTAAAGCTGTGTGACTGCAGTGTGGAGCGAGCTTTGCTGCCATCTAGTGGATATTTTATAAACATTTTCTCCACGGCACCCTCTTAAAACAATTCACTACGCTTCAGGAAATAGTCCCGGGGCCTTTCGACATATTAATAGTCAAAATAAGTTAAAAAATAAATCAGTATTGTAAAAATACAAATATTCTAGTGAATTAGGATAAAACAGGTCAACTTACAAGATATTTTGTTAAAGTTTGGGGTAAGAATGGAGGTAAGTGCATTGATATTCCTGTAACCAGGCTCACACACACGACGGAAGCAATTAGTCTTCAATTCATCGGCCTGTGGTGCTGGTCGTCGGACAATTTAATCCCATATTGTTTGGAGAAGCTTCTAGAAGGTTTGTAAATAATTTTTTTTTATCACGTCATGGAAAATAATGTATTATGTGGGACTTGTGATTCGAAGTAGTGATGATTTATTTAACAAGTTCGCGTGTTTTCTAATTCACGTAATTGACCAGCAAGGTTCTAGATGCTACTAACTAACTATTAATTTTACTTTTAAAAAAAAGTAAACACGAAGAAAACAAAAGTTAAGTGAAATTAAATGTAAATATAATACATATTTTATGTGTGAAATAGTGATACAAATGGGACGGAACGCCTTAATTTCTGTGTGTTACCTCGTCACATTTATCTAACAGCCGTTGCTGTTTTTTTCGGCGCACAAATTTCCGGCCGCCATTTTGTTACTTTTACAAAGTTTTTTTTTTATCGTGTGTATATAAGTCAAATGCGTATTATTTTGTTTCTCAAGGCATGACGTGTGCTAGTGTTTGTAAAAAATAAAAATACCGTTGTTGAGTGACACTTATTTAATCGTTTTTAATCATTTTTAAAGGGTTGCTCTTTGATTGGAGACCATCTTAAGATGACCGGTCGAGCACGAGCCAGATCCAGGGGCAGAGCCCGCGGTCAAGAGATCGCAGTGCCCGGGGCGGTAAGAGAATTCTGTTTATTATATATTCGATATTTCGATAATTTATTTTTCATTAATATTAGTTCACAACAGCTTATGCTAATTAAAGGTAGCCTTAAAGTGTGACCTCACAACTTATGTTTACACTTTTATTGGAGGATACGCTGAGCTGAAGTTACGTAAAGTTATCAGAGAGGCATTGAATAAAGCTACTAGTTACTGAGTTAGTTGCTGACGGAGGAAGTTTCGACAGAAAGAAGGATTTTACGTATTAGCCGCGCTAATTTCAAGGCATTACAAAGTCTATTCTGAACACTTTATTTCGGGTAATTACATTATACTTTTATTTTGATTCGTATGTTCAATGTCAATAAAATTAAAATATATCAAAATGTACTTTGCATACATGACAAATGCACACAATGCAGACGTAAAATCCTCCACGTAAACTGTTATTTTAACGATGTTCACGAAAGACATACTTCCGCCGTATTATTGTGTTAATAAATACCGCATTATATACATTGTCTGGCTAATTTTCAACGTCCGCAGCGTCTCTCTATGCAACCATTTCCGTCCCATCGACCTGCGGCGATTTAAGATTCTTATCTTTTGTTGTCGTTATCGATTGTTTACGTCTACCTATTGGCGTCTTTTGCCGCATAACATGGCCAGCGGTGCGATGCATCATGGATGATAACGATGATCGGAAAAACCATCTATACCGGTTGTAAATGGAAGACTGTATAGATCAGGTTAGGTCCTCCAACACTTTTTACGAAAATGCTTTTTAAAGCTCCCGCGGGCCACACCAAAATGGCCGCGCGGGCCGGATTTGGCCCCCGGGCCTTGAGTTTGACACCGTATGACCCAGAGGCTTCCTGATGATGTCAGTCTGAGCTACAGACGAATCTGCTAAACCACGTAGGATCGTCCTCGTGCTCAGTATAAATATATATACATATATATATACTCATAGGCTGGATACGTTACAGCAGATTATTTAAAAAGGTCAATTACGCTTTGACATTTTAATTTTTTCCCCCTGTAGAGCCAGTCCCGAGAGACCCCGCAGCCTGCCCCTGCCCCTGGCCCTTCAGCTGAGGGGGAGTTGGCTGGACGAGGAAGGCAGAAAGGGGCTGCAGTGCCATTTACTGAAGAAGGTATGATTAAAAAAGTCCGTTTGGAGTCGAGCTAAGATTTCTTTAGTTTGATAAAATGGCGTGTTTTGCCCTGGTTTCCAAACATCTGCGTCACATTTGTCTGATTTTTTTTCCTCGTTTTTTTTTTCCAGCTGTTGTTCAGATTTCGGCGGGGGTTCACAAGGGGAAATTGGGGGAAAGGGGGGGACGCCCGCGGGGTTTCAAAGAAAATACGGGGGTCAACACCCGACAGGCCATGGAACATGTGAAGTATTCGAAGGCTGGTGAGTGGTCGCTTTTTAAAAAATTCTCATTCAAATGCTCTTCTTCGACATTTCTGTGTGAACTTTTTCAGGAACTAGCGGACGTCTCATCCAACTGTCGGCCAACTATTTTCGAATCACTTCTCGCCCGCAATGGGTTCTGTATCAGTACCACGTCGACTTCAATCCGCCTATGGAGTCCCGGCGTCTAAGATCTGCGCTGCTGTTCCACCACGAGGAGGTGCTCGGCTCAGCGCGCAGTTTTGATGGCACTCTGCTCTTCCTGCCTAATAGATTGCCGAACAAGGTACGGCACAATTAGCAGGGACGTTCGATTTCCGGCCAATCGTCTGCTCTTAAAGAACCGAATGTGTACAACGGTTGTTCCGCTCCCTCTGTAGGAGACTGTGCTCTGTAGCACAACGAGAAACGGAGAGATGGTTCAGATAACGCTGACCCTGACCAACGAGCTGCTCCCCACCTCCCCCGTGTGTATGCAGTTTTACAATATCATCTTGAGAAGGTAGGGGGGGCGCTGTTTGATTCAAGAACAACGTTCAAATCAAATCCTCCCCGTCCGGAGTGCACGTTTGATTTTTTTTTTTATTTGATTTGATTTCTGCAGGATTCTACGGATTCTCAATATGCAGCAGATTGGACGCAACTACTACAACCCCAAAGATTGCCTCAACATCCCACAGCACAGGTCTGCGTTAGTCGCTTTTCCCGAGACGGTTTTAGAAATCTACTCTACTTCTTAACTTTCTTTGAGACGCTTCAGTGCACAAAGAAGCTACCGGGGTGGCGGTTTACTCCAGCAGTTTGTTTCTCCGCTAGGTTGACCATCTGGCCCGGCTACGCTACAACCATCTTGGCTTACGAGTCGTCGATCATGATGTGCACCGACATCAGCCACAAAGTCCTGCGAAGCGAAACGGTCCTGGACTTCATGGTCACCCTGAGGCAGCAGTGTAGCAGTCAACATTTCCCCGAGATCTGTACCAAGGAGCTCGTCGGCCTCATAGTCCTCACCAAGCAAGTGGTCTCACTGTCCGGTACACGAAACCGTCTGCGGTGTGTGGATTTGACGTTGAGATACCAACGAGAGTCTCCGTGTCTGGTCCAAACGTTTAGGTACAACAACAAAACCTACAGGATCGACGACATAGCGTGGGATCACACGCCGAACAACACCTTCAAGAGGGGAGACACGGATATTTCCTTCAAGAACTACTACAAGACTGTAAGTAGACACTCCAGTTACTACACCTGCTGACAGGCCTCCCAACAGTGACTCGGCTCCTGCTCCCCGTTCACAGCAATACAACCTTGACATCACCGAAGGGAACCAGGTTCTGCTGGTCAGCCATGTGAAGAAGACCACGGGTCCTCCAGGAACTGCCCCCCCTGGTCCGGCCCTGCTGGTCCCAGAGCTGTGCTACCTGACAGGTTACCGTGTTATTTTTGGTACTACGGACACTTTCGGAAAGTCGTGTTTGCCGTTTGCCCTGATTACTGTGGCTATAACCTGACAGGGCTGACGGACAAGATGAGGTCCGACTTTGGGATCATGAAGGACCTAAGCAGCCACACCAGACTGAACCCCCAGCAGAGAGAGGAACGCCTCAACAGATTTGTGGCCACGTTCCAGAAGTGAGTAGGACAATATATTTCTATATTATAATACCGGACAGTTCTTGGAGTCGATGTTCTTTCTGGGGTTTTTTTTCCACCCTCTTTTAAAATCGGAAACTCTGTAGGAATACTGACGCGCGCGCAGAAATGGACAAGTGGGGCCTGGGCTTTGACAAGCAGCTTCTCAGTCTGACCGGGAGGATTCTCCCGGTGGAGAGGATTTTACAGGGACCGAGATCGGTAGAACACGAAACGAACGTGATTCTTATTTGGAGCTTCACCCGGTGTCGTGACGTGACTGTGTGTGTGTGTGTTCTTGACCTGCAGTACGAGTACGACCCTTCGACGGCCGACTGGTCCAGGGAGATGCGTGGTCTGCCTATTATTTGCTCCCCTCCTCTGGACAACTGGCTGTTGCTGTTCACCCGTCGAAATGGCAACGAAGCCCAGAACTTCCTGCACACCCTGAACAGAGTGTCGGCTCCGATGGGAATCCGCATAAGCAGGCCCATGATGTACGCGTCGTCCAAACGTTTTTAGTCACATTGGCTTTTATATCTATATATATATATGTATGTATGTTTATTTATGTATATATACATATGTGTATGTGTATACATATGTGTATATATGTACGTTTATACATACAGTATGTGCATATATGTATGTGCATATATGTGTATATATGTATGTGTATACATATGTATGTGTATACATATGTATGTTTATACATACAGTATGTATATATGTATATGTGTATATATGTATGTGCATATATGTATGTGCATATATGTGTATATATGTATGTGCATATGTATGTACATGTATGTGTATATATATGTATGTGCGTATGTGTATATATGTATGCGTATACATATGTATGTTTATACATACAGTATGTATATATGTATATGTGTATATATGTATGCGTATACATATGTATGTTTATACATACAGTATGTGCATGTATGTATGTGTATACATATGTATGTTTATACATACAGTATGTGTATATATGTATGCGTATACATATGTATGTTTATACATACAGTATGTGTATATATGTATGCGTATACATATGTATGTTTATACATACAGTATGTGTATATATGTATGCGTATACATATGTATGTTTATACATACAGTATGTGTATATATGTATGTGCATATGTATATATGTATGTGCATATGTATATGTGTCTATATGTATGTGCATATGTGTGTTCATATGTATGTGTGTATGTACGTATACATATGTGTATATGTATGCGTATATGTATATGTATGTATATGTGTGTGGTATGTGCGTATACATATGTGTATGTGTGTATATATGTATACATATGTGTGTGTATACACACATACATGTGTGTATACACACACATGTATGTGTGTATACACACACATACATGTGTGTGTATACATATGTGTATATGTATATGTGTATGTATGTATATGTGTGTGTATACACACATATATGAGTGTATATATGCTTCTATTGTTTAGGTGTGAGTACATGGATCAGCAGGAGGCGCTCCTGAGATGCCTGCGGCAAAATGTTGGATCTGACACACAAATGGTCAGTGACTGTATGTACGGCACATTGTTACAGACAAGTGTCAGTTCTGTTCTTTTCAGCGTTTCATCTACGCCCCAGTGTCACCTTGTCATTTTTTTTTTTTTTTTTTTTTTTTTTTTAAATTTCCTCCCTGCCTCAGGTTGTGGTGATCCTCCCGACCAACAGGAAGGACAAGTATGACAGTGTGAAAAAGTACCTCTGTGTGGACTGTCCCACTCCCAGCCAGTGCATCGTGTCCCGTACCATCAGCAGACAACAAGCGCTGATGACGGTGGCCACCAAGGTGGCCCTTCAGATGGCCTGTAAGATTGGAGGGGAGCTGTGGAGCGTGGAGATCCCCGTGAGTCTGGACAGACGAGAGACACTTTATGGGGAAGTGACTGACGTCTGAAAAAAAAAAAAAAAATTCAAAGTGTCTCGTTCTCAGACTCCTAATGACGTCACCTCATGTATCTTTTTTTTTAAATTTTTTAAATTTTTTTTTTTAGCTTAAACAGCTCATGATCGTCGGAATCGACTGCTACCACGACATCGCTGCTGGGAAGAGATCCATCGGTGCCCTAGTGGCCAGCTTGAACCAGGGCATGACCAGGTGGGTTTTTGGGAGTCTTGTTTTTAACCCTACACACATATATATACACATATACATATACATACATACATACATATGCACATACATATGCACACATACATATACACATATATGCACATACATATACACACATATGCACATACATATACACATATATGCACGTACATATATGCACATACACATACATATACACATATATGCACATACACATATGCACATACATATACACATATATGCACATACATATACACATGCACATATACACATATATGCACATATATATGCACATACATATACACACGTGCATATACATATACCCATATATGCACGTACATATATGCACATACACATACATATACACATATATGCACATACATATACATATAAACACGTTTTTGACCCGTGATATACTGAGTTAAAAAAATGTGTTTTTATATGTTTTTAGACATAAAAATTAAGAACTGATTTGGTTCTGTTTTTAGACACCAAATTTTTTCTTTTTGAATGTTGACACAATTATTCTGCAGTTGCAAAGGCCGACCACCGGATGGCAGTGTTGGTTGATTTTCAGGCGTCCACCGTCGAGGCTTACATGCAACACTGCCGTCAAAACCTATTCTTATCATAGAAAATGACATTTTCATAGCTGTCCACTGTAGTGGCCGTCATGCATGAAAGGCTTAATGTGATGTCACAACAGATGGTTCTCCAAGTGCGTGCTGCAGCAGAAAGGTCAAGAGATCATGGACGGGCTGAAAATGGCCTTGAACGGTAACGGTTTTTTTGTTTTTGTTTTTTTTTTTTTTTCCACCAATTTTTTTTTTTCTCAAATCCCGTCAATAATCCAGACGAACGCCACGTCTTTTCCCCATAGGCGCGTTGAAAGACTACTTGAGATTCAACCACTGCCTCCCCTCACGGATCATCGTGTACCGGGACGGAGTGGGCGACGGGCAGCTGTCCAGCGTGGTCAACTTTGAAGTGGCGCAGATTTTGGACTCCATCAAGTCCATCGGAGAGGATTACGCGTTAGTAGCTGAGCTTTTAACGCTTTCTGTTTGACCAGCAACCCGATCCATCCGTCTGTCCGTCCGTCCGTCTGTCGTTCTAGGCCCAAGCTGAGTGTGGTGGTGGTGAAGAAGCGCATCAGCAGCAGGTTCTTTGCCTACATCAACGGCCGGGTGTCCAACCCTCCGCCGGGCACCGTCGTGGACACGGAGGTCACCCGCCCCGAGTGGTACGACTCTCACTGGTACTTTTTTTTTCCACTCTGACATATCAAAAAAAAATTTTTCTTTTTTTTTTTTTTTTCTTTCCCCGCCCGATCAGGTACGACTTCTACATCGTGAGCCAGGCCGTCCGTATGGGAAGCGTGGCTCCGACTCACTACAACGTGGTGTACGACACCAGCGGGTTGAAGCCCGATCACATGCAGCGACTCACCTACAAGCTGTGTCACATGTACTTCAACTGGCAGGTACGACTCGGTACTACGCTCACTGAAATACTGCAGTATTTTCTTTTTTGGTTTTGAACAAATTGTAGTAAAAAAAAAAAAAAAAAAAAAAAAATTTTTTTTTTGGAACCGTAGGGAATCATCCGAGTGCCTGCACCTTGCCAGTATGCCCACAAGTTGGCGTTCCTTGTTGGTCAGAGCCTCCACAGGGAACCCAACATACACCTGGACGACCTTCTATTCTACCTGTAGACCCCCACGCCCCCCCCCCCCCCCCCCCCCCCACGTCCCTCTTCG